TTCCTCTGAATTCGCCTTTTCAAATATAAATTCAAGGGCTTTAAAGCTTGTTCTTGAATCTATGATGAACTTGAACTTGAACTTTATCTTGATCTTGACTTTTATTTGAACTCAAGGGCTTCGAGCTTGTTCTTGAATTCGGTGGTCTTGATCTTGATCGTTCTTGAACTTGAATGCTTGAATTCTTAAACTTGTAGCTTTGTAGAGAATTAAATGGCGTTTGTACCACAGAGTTTCTCTAGCTTCTTGTTTAGAATTTTCTGTCCCTTTTTTGAATTATGAGGACCCTTATTTATAGTTTTAGAATAGAGGAGTTGCGATTAGAATAGGATTCCGTTCAGCCAATCAGATTGAAGTGACATGACATTTGGGCTTTATGGAGCGGGCTTGTCATCTTTGACACATGTCATGATTCTATTGGTTTTCTTATTTGACTTGGCATGCCACATCATCTGCACACGTGGCGCCAAGATGGGCTCTAGAATGAGATGAGATTGAGTTTAACAAATTGGGTTCATCCATTGTAGCCCAAATCAATTACTTTAGACTTTAATTAAATTCATATTTATTGGACTTAAATATTTAAGTCAATTATATCAATCCATAATATTTATTTGGATTAATATATTTATGAATTCAATATTATCTGAATCATTTTATAAATTTATATTTAATAAATTTTAAATGATTACAATGTTAATCAGTAAATAGATAGTACATCCCAATCAAACAAAAGACAAGTAGTAATAGCTTAGGAAATTCATCCTTCTATCGAGAAAAAAACCTCTCGTTCCATTTTTCCTGGATAGACAAGAAGTACTTGTCTACTACTGGCCATCTCTCAATTTTTCTGTAAGTACTATATGAAGTGCTCTCTTCAATAAAAAAGAATAGCTCCCAGTTCTTCTGTCAAGCCCATCCATGAGGGAAATTCCTAAAATAAATTACTTCAACATCTTTTGATAAGAAAAAAAATGTTAAATTGTTTTATTTTACTTTAACATATTCCTTAGTTGACATCTAAGTTAAATCTGTGATTCTCCTGCAAATACTTTAATCGGAAGGAAAAGCAGGAAGCACGGAACTTTATGTCCAACACTGTTAGATTACTCGGGGAAACACTTGGCTGGAAAAAACAGAGCAAATTAAATATTATGATTCATGTGTTACACCTTACCCTATACAGGGAAATATTAACTGAGTGGTTTCAAGCTTAGTTAGAGAATTGACAGCAAAAACTCCAACATCATGAAGAGGAAAACTTATAGAATGGATGATAAGTTCATTAAGGTGTTGATGGATTTATGTGATAACTAATTCTCTGTCTTAGCACCTATTGTATCTGGAGTTTGTAGGCGCCATTTCCTCACAGCATTCATCATATGGAGAGCTTAATTTTATATTTTTTTAAAACGCTGAATTGATTTGTAACTCTAGGCTTCGAATGATTCACAATGCTTATCATGGACGTGCTAACATCGGAGTGGTAAGAGTAATATGAGGGAGCTTGCTCGGAAACAAACATCTATAGAAGACATTTTCTAAGCTTAGTACATACAGTAGAACTAAAGCACTAATTTGTAAAGTGGACAACCAGGTAATACCAATGGGTATTTTGTCCGATTAAAAAAATTGAAGAAAGAAAGCAGAAACAAAAATATTCCCCTACGAGGGAGAAGTTGAAAGTCACATAGTGGACGGCTGACAACTTGGTTAAAAGGTGTGGCCTCTCAAAATTGCAAAAGGCACTATAGAGTCATCCTTAAAATGGAAATGATATGGGAAAAAATTAGAACTTTAATGTCTTGGACCTTAGAAAACTCGAAAGCATAGCAGAAATCTGGGGTAAAAAAACATCTAAATTCTCAAATTATGTTTTGGCAGTCAGCACTCTAGCTAAAGGTTTACTAAAATAATTATGCTATCAAGAAAACAAAGACTACAAAGTACATTCACATCTATGCTATACTCACAAGAGAGAGATATAGAGGAAAGAGAGATTAAGCGGGCAATATATACAATCTACAATGAACCTGTTCAACTTGAACGGTTAATTCTGTATGTGGTGTCACAATATTCCCTAACATTCTGAATAGTTTCATACTGGTTGACTCCTGGCTCAGTTACAACGTGACAGGATAAAACAATTTTCCCTGTATTGATGGCCCAAACATGCAGGTCATGAACATCTTTTACTCCTGCTAAAGATTTTAGGCCAAAACAATCTCTGTTCTCACGTTTACAGCATAATTAATGGGTTGATAGAAAGCGGAACAGAGATATCAAAATTGATGACATGCACTACGGAAAAAAAAAGAACAAAAGCCTTCTATCTTCCGCCTGTTCAAATTTTGTTATAAGATTCGCAGGATTGATTTTGTTAACAACATTACAATTGTGTACATTTGAATGTATGAACTTACAGACTATCCATGATGATAAATTCTAGGATTCTCTGTCCATTGGCCGCAAAACTTGGAGGGCGGCATTGATCAGTAGCGCAAGAACATCTGCATATAATTAGAGATTGTAATTAATGAGTTGAGCATGATTGCAGAAAATATAGTGATGACAATTTTGTAAGTACCGAATTCAGCGTCTTTTGCTTGTTGATCAAAAGCATCAAAAGGTGTGACAACTAATCGAGCAGGAGGAGGCAGTGGACTTTCTGGGGGGGCTGACTTTTTCAATTGGTTCAAGAATAGCATTTTTATCGATTGTCCAGGTGAATTGTTGAAAGAAGCAGCATATTCGTAAGTTGACTCTTTAACACGTACCACTGACAGCAAGTACGTTTGGAAGGGCTTAAAATGATTTGCAAATTGTGTTATATCAGCATTCCATATGGTTGCCAAAATTTGATGTTCCTGCATGAAGAGTTTTTATTCAATTAATGCTTTGCAAAAGGTCAAAATAATTTAACTAATGAAAATTGATAAGTAATGAAAAGAAAGGATGACTACATCCAGGAGCTGTACTTGCTAGGGGAGTTTTTTTTTACGTTAAAATATAAAGGGGATTTTAAAATATGTTTAGACAGATAATGACGTCTTACCTAATATACGACTGATATTAAGAGAATAGTTTTCTTTTTGTGCTATTTTGTGGCAGATAAGACAATAAATATCAGATGAAGTACAACCATCTCTATTAAGATAACAGACCATTCAGCTATTCGTATGACTAAATTTCAACAGAAACAATTGTAGAAAATATCCATATTTAGCAAAATAATTATAGAAAACAAAATAGACTAATTATGTTAGTAATATATTCGGTACAACCATTTTCCTTATCTGGTTCCGTATTTCTTTCCATCTTACCTGTATAAATGTAAAAGTTATTTCACAAGAGCAATACACAGAAAATTAACCAAAAACTATTCTCTTTGTTTACGTATTTTAACATGGTATCAGAGCCATAAGGTCGATCTTCGACGTTTTTTTTTCCGTACTCATCATCTACCGGGATCTACCGAAATGGAAGACCCATCGGAAAACCCACCGGAAAATCCAAACCAGCTTATTTCTATGGAACATATGCAGCAACTGTTTCAAATGTTCCAAACACTCAACAAAAATTCAACCAACATCGAACCAGGGACTTCACAAACAGTGCGAGTCGCGGAAAAATTGAACTTCACCAACTACACCAAATGGTGTAAACTGATGCAGATAGCAATTGGTGGCCGGGGAAGACTCAATCACATCATCGTCAACCCCATTTCACCAGATAAATCCAGAATACCAGCAATGGGCTCAAAAAGATTCGATGGTCATTTCATGGATCATCGAGAATATTGACGGAGACCTCGTGAATCAATTCTTGGACTACAAAACTGCCCGAGACTTATGGAAAGGCATCGAAACTCTACTCAGTAGCGGCAGAGATGAATTGCAGATCTATGATCTGAACACAAAAGCAACCTCTATGAAACAAGGGATAGACACAATAGAGGTGTATTTCAGCAAATTGAATACAACCATTTTCCTTATCTGGTTCCGTATTTCTTTCCATCTTACCTGTATAAATGTAAAAGTTATTTCACAAGAGCAATACACAGAAAATTAACCAAAAACTATTCTCTTTGTTTACGTATTTTAACAACAATAATACATATTTTATATTAATACAGAAAATGTAATGCGAAATGCCTCCACAAATTTCAATCAGTTTTGCCAATAACAGGTGTAGTATGTACATATCCTTGTCTGAAATTTTAGCGACGTCAAGGTTTTTTTTTTCATTACAATATCGCATAGGGACAATATCAATTAAGAATGGTACGATAACTGCTACATATAGAAACAAACTTTTGTAAGAATATGTAAATAGTGTGCATACAGAAGCACAGATGGATTGGAGATATGTAAAAATGGGAGTTTTGTATATGCTGATGTTCACTGGTAAACAGAAATACAGAAGGGTGAAACAGTTGGTAGAACGTGAAGGTTATGACAGGTTAAAGAAGCAGAGGTTATGTGCACATACATAAGCAAATGTCAAACAAAAACTATCAGATTCTGTACAGATAACATCGAAGTAAATTAGTAAATGACATTTTATCTTGTATTTCAATAGAAACCACATACAGATAAACATTAGTTAAACATTATAGGCAGCCAAAATAGTAAAGAATGTTGATTAAACAAAGAGGTACACATGATAGAATTAACCTTTTCATCCTGTAAGAGAAGCAGCTGATATTTCTTCATTTTATCTTTGGTGTCCCTGGGAGGAAATTTATCAACAACCTGGATTTTGCATAGCCAATCTTGTGTATTTGGAGTGATAGAGTTTATGGTAAGTCTATGTGCCATATGGGAATAATCTGTAATGACCAAAAAATTAAATAAGAATAGAATTATATATATTCGTATAAGTCATCAGAGAAAGACCTAATATCTAAGGTATGAGAAGATAGAGAATATTAAAAATGTATGCAACATACTTGGATGTCATGAGAAGGCTTTTTGCATAATTTCATTGTAAACAATATTATAAGTTGTATGGTCTTCGTCTTGAACCGTAGTCGGTCTGATCAATACTTTGACGGAGTTAGATTTTTTAGCTCGAGATAAAGCAACATATAATTGAGTTGCTGAAGGACTATGATGTGACCATTTTGTATCATCCGGGGAAGGCCAATGTTGTGGCCTATGCTTTGAGTAGGAAGACTCATAGCATGGGGAGTCTTGCATCTCTTAGTATTAAGGAGAGACCATTGGCTAGAGATGTTCTGATGTTAGCTAACAGTCTTGTCCGATTGCAGATTTCAGAGGACAGTGATGGGATGATTGTTTTTATTGAGGCTCGATCTTCTTTAGTCGAGCAGATCCGTGCACACCATTTTGATGATGAGAAGTTATGTATCATTCGAGACAAAGTATTGAGATGGGAAGCCAAGGAGGTTGTCCTTGATCCTAATGGCGTCTTAAGGATCGGAGGCAGGATTTGTGTGCCTAAAACAGGCGATTTGATTAGATTAATTCTTGAGGAGGCCCATTGTTCTCGATTTTCCATCCATCCGAGGGCGGCGAAAATGTATCATGATTTGAGTCAGCATTACTGGTTGTGTGGGATGACGAGAGATATTTCAAACTTTGTTTCTAGGTGTTTGACTTGCCAGCAGGTTAAGTGTGAGCACCAGCGGCCCGGGGGTGTATCTCAGAGGATGCCTATTCCTACTTGGAAGTGGGAGCGGATTACTATGAACTTTGTTGTGGGTTTGCCTACCACAGTGGGTGGTTATGACTCTATTTGGGTTGTTGTTGATAGGTTGACCAAGTATGCCCACTTCATTCCGGTTCGGATGAAGTATACGACAGAAAAGTTAGTCGAGCTATATATCAGTCAAATTGTGCGACTACATGGAGTTCCTATTTCTATCATATCAGATCGAGATTCACTATTTACTTCTCACTTTTGGAAGGCATTACAACATGGTCTGGGTACTCAGTTAGATATGAGTATAGACTTTCACGCTCAGACAGTTGGTCAGTCTGAGCGGATGATTCAGGTTTTGGAAGATATTCTCCAAGCGTGTGTGATCGATTTCAGAGATAGATGGGATCGACATCGCAGATAGATGGGATCGACATTTACCCTTAGCGGAGTTTACCTATGATAACAATTATCACTCTAGTATCCAGATGTCCCCATTTGAGGCGTTGTATGGAAGACAGTGTAGGTCTCCGATTGGTTGGTTTGATTCGGTGGAGATGGACTTTTTGGATACAGACTTTCTTAGAGATGCTATGGAGCAAGTCTGTATGATTCAGTATAGATTATTGACAGCTCAGAGTCGACAGAAGAGTTACGCAGACCGGAGAGTTAGAGCCTTAGTGTTTATGGAGGGTGATCATGTTTGGCTCCGAGTATCACCCATGAAGGGTGTGATGAGGATTGGAAAGAAGGCAAGCTTAGATCTAGGTGCATTGGACCTTTTGAGATTTTGAGCCGAGTGGGAGAGGTGGCCTATAAGTTGGCCTTTCCACCTAGTTTGTTGGGAGTTCATCCTGTTTTCCATGTCTCTATGCTTTGGAAGTATATTCCGGATGAATCTCATGTGCTTTCACTTGACTCTGTAGAGTTGGATCTAGACTTGACATATGAGGAGGAGCATATAGCTATATTGGATAGGCATGCCCGAAAGCTTAGGACCAAGGAGCTTGTTTTAGTGAAGGTGCAATGGAAGCACCGTTCAGTAAGGGAAGCAACTTGGGAGACAGAGTCTGACATGCATTCCAGATATCCTCAACTTTTTGAAGCTTTAGGTACTTTCTTTTACTTTATGTTCGAGGACGAACATGATTTTTAGTGGTGGATAATGTAATGACCCAGAAGGTCATTTTTGGAAATTTTGAATATTTGTTTAACTTGAGTTAATTAATGGATGAATAATTATAGATAAATGATTAAATTAATAGTTTATGGGCTAAAGTGATAATTTTTTCAAGACCTTATACCCTTTAGCCTATATTTAATAAAATAAGTGGGTAAAATTCACCACTTTTAGTACATAAATAATTCAGAAATAAATAGGGAAAAAAAGGGCGAAGGGTTTCTGCACTTGCAGCTTACGAACTACTTCATGTAAGTTTCCTTTGCTTCTAGTTCCTTGATTGCCGCACATATATGTGTGTATATAGCAATGTTATATAGGTAATTATATATATGTGTATAATAACAAGTGATAGATTGCATATTTGAGTCTAAAAAATTGAATAACAAATCACGTGAATAGTTGAAAATTTTGAAAATATTTGAATCAGTTGTTAATAGGTATTTAATGCTTAATTGTGATCATTTGGTTTCTTTGATTATATAGATAATTTAGTGTGTATTGCTGAACAAAGAAAAAAAACAATCAAAGAAAAAAAAATGTCATACATGCTATAATGTGAGGAAAATAATGGTTTGTTCATGAACGTGTCTCCTGGGAAAATTTTATGACTAAATTTAATGCAAATACTTTGGTAGTGATTGCTACATTATGTGTGGTTAGTACAGTGAGGACAGAAGTAGTCTTAGGCTCAAGGCGGTGTTTTTCCGTGGATGATAGATAATTTAATTTAATTTCTTAATCTTATCACATTATGAGTTAAGTTTTAATATATTGAGATCGGAAATTAAATATTAGATCTATAGTATTATATAAATATCATTTGGGGTTTTGATAGTTGAAATGTTAATTGGCATCAAGAACTACAAACCTGATTATAAATTTGGGTGGATTTTTAAGGTTAAGATTAAACACATAAAAGTGTGAGTGTTGTTAGTTCTGAAACCTTATTGTGAATATATACTTGAATAGATTCCATAGATTCGGAAGCTCAAAGGACAGGGAAGGCTCAAGTCCAAGAATAATTATTTGATTGACTAAGGCAAGTGGATTTCTAAACTCTTGTTAAGCATATGAAATTCATGTATTTCCTTGTGTGGTGTCGAGAATGATTTGGAGACTTGTTGCTTATTTGTTGGTATTGTATTCCTTGTTGTAAATTGTGTTTTGATATCAAAATGGTTATCTCCTCATTTTCATTTGAGCATGTCATTTTGCATCTGAGACATGGTTTTAATAAAAGTTAGATGATAAGAGGATGTACCATTTCGAGGGTTGTATCGTGTGCCGCGATGGATATTATATTTTTAGGGATGTATCGCACACCGCGACGTTTACAATAATCGAGGATCGTGTCGTGTGCCGCGACAGATGCATGGAAAGATATGTCCCCCATGGGTCCCAGACTGAGAGACAACATGTGTGTATCATTAGGGAAGACATGAATCACTATACTTGACATTGCATCTCATGACATAACACATTTTTATTATTGATGAACTTGAATACGTGTTTTGCTGATCTTAGTAGTGTTTCTCTGTGAAAATTGTGATTGTTGAATATTGAGCTGTTATTGAGAATATGTAAACTAATAAAGTGTGGTTATTGAGTTGTGTGTTTTGTAAACTGTGAGTTGTTTATAGCGTGGAGGTTCAGATAGGGGGTAAGGAGTACCTGTATTTTGTTCCCTTAACTTGTGTTTAGAGGTTTGCTTGTTGGGTACCGCTGGTTTGGTATTCACCCCTTGCTTCTACAATTTTTGTAGGTTACGAGCCCTGATTTTGGTGATACCTTCCATTCTCTTCGTTTCCGAGGCATCTTGTGGAGGATTATGAGGTAGTTGTTTGTCATCTCAGCGAACTTTCCTACTCCAGTTTATGATTTTATTTTTACTTGGAAGACAACTTCATTTTAGACTCGTATTTTATTTCAATTCTAATATTTACATTAGAGGCTTGTGCACGTGACAACCTGTTTTTGGGGATTAAATTAAGTGGAATTGTTTTCATATTAGAAATTATTGTTGGATTGCTTTGTTAGATATTTGGTCTTAGGCTAACTTGACTTGGTGGAATAAGATGAGTACCATCATATCCGTTTTTGGGTTGTGACAACATTTGTGTGATGGCCATTGAGGATTTTAGTAAGAAATGCGTATAAAATTGAGTTAGTCCTTTGGATTTGGTTGTTATAATGGGTTTGAGGTGTCATGTTGATGATAAGGTTGACTTTTTGGTGATGGCAAGGGGTATTGAGCATAATGTAATAAGAGTTCTTAATAGATTGAGATTGAGATACATTGAGATGCACCTATCTGATAAGGATTGTAGGTTTTTTGAAATGATGACTTGTAGCTATCTTAAGTGACGGTTTACTACCATCTTTTTTAGTAGCATGGATATGTTGGTATCACGCTCCTGATCAAGACCCAAACCAGCGGACCGTGCGCACATTTACTCTAACACCGAAGTAGAGGACCCTTGATCCCCATATGGTTAAAAACATGTAGAAGATTAAGAAAACTAGAGATAAAAGGAAATCCATGAGATTTTTATATTATAAAGAGTTTCAACAATCCAAAGTTAAATTTGTAAAATAAATAATTCCCCTGGCGATCTAGTCTAAACAGGTACAAGAGATTCTAAGATTACAAGGTATAAAATACAGTAACCAATGACACAGCTTCCACCACAAAGAAGGAAGAGTAAAAGTTGTTGGAGATTGTCTTGGTCTTCACCTATGAAACATCAGTGACCTTGCAATCAGACTATGCCAAAAGACATAGAAAGAGAAGTATTAGTACAAATCACACGTACTGGCAAGCATCATCGATCAACCCAATACCCACCACATAATATAACTAAATCAAACTAGCACAAAATATGCAATAAGAAAGTACACTCCTCAACCTTTATCCACTTGCCTTTCTCTTTTCTATACACCTTAAGCATATAATACCCTTGACTCTAACTCCATATCTTGCTCGCTCTACTCTTTATTCATAACTTGACAATTCTAACTCATAGATAAGTTACCAAATACAATCACTACCAACCCGGCCAACCACTCTCTACATGCCCTCAATTTTTATGCATCACAAATAATTTGTACAGAGGAACGATATCCCATCCGTAAAGGTAAGTGGAAAATGCATGAATGCAAACCTGCATGGGCATGGGCTTGTGTTAAATCATTTGTGTCCATATAATCAGTGTCTACATTTTCATCCATATAAGCAGCCCTGGCAGGAGATAAATAGAATGGAAAAGGAATTTGCTTATTACAACATCAAAGGCTAGAGACAATTAGAACAATAAAGTTGTTTAGTTAAACAATAGGGGTTGAAAATATTATGCAACGTTAAGGGGAACGTAACGTGATAATTAAAAAAGTAAGAATGATTACCTGGTTTGACGGGGGTTTTCGTTGATATCCTTTGGGTACATAAAGACACGCAGTGAAAGTGCTTGTATATTTGCAGATGGGTGTTGGAAGCAAAGGAGAGAATTGAATGTTGTGTGCATGACGCAACGCAACAATGTAAGGAAGGAGTTTTGGTTAAGGCGCTATTTGTAATACAGCGGTGATGGTACAGGAAGAGGCGTGATGGTAAGGCAAAGGAAATGTTGCTTAGTTAGAGATACGACTGTTTCGAGAGCACGGGTATTTATGGTGATAAATAAATTGAAGGGAATTCAGGCTTGTGGTTGCGCTACATCACCGGATTGAAGGTTTTCATATATATATATATATATATATATTAATTATTAATAAAATACTATAGAAGACATAGTTATTAATCAATGTCTTAAATTAAATATAAGACGATCTAATCTAAACATTAAGTCTAACAAATCAAAAACATTGCATGATAAATATGGTAAATTAATTATAAATTTTCTAGTTATTGTGCCATAGTATGAACATACAATAGAATATATGGATATTTATGGCATAAAGTATATCAAATTCTTATTATTAAAGTTTGTCGAAAAGTATAAAAGTTGACCAAATTTATTTTAAAATAGTATATATATAAAATGTATATTTGATTTGTGATGCATTAATTCATGGAAAAAAAACTAAAACACTAGATTTCATAACCGCTTACAACTCCGCCCAACCCCCAAAGCACCACAAACGACGATTTGGAAATGTTTAGCCTCTTAGTTTTGATTCACTTCTTATGAGACTAAGTTATTATATTTCATGGATTATATACAAAACATATCTCCTTTAAATGAAGAGAGAAAACTCAATTAGGGAGTCATGACAAAAAAATAATTGGTATTCAATTAATTTATTACACAATTTGTAAATAATTATTGATAATATATAGTATAATTTCTCTCAATCGCTCCCTTACAATTTTAATTATAAATTTAATATCTTCAAAGAAGATTAATAAAATTCATTTTTTTTATAACTAGTATCACGATCCAAACATCAAAAGTAATGACACATGTCTTATCCCACCTGGACATGTCAACTTAATCAACCCACTACAAAGGAAAATGCAGAAGTAAGAACATAATTCAAGTGTTTTGGATTCAACGCTGGTATCAGTGCTCAACAAGGGAACGAAGTTGGTTAGAGGGATGTTTACCAACCACTATGGGTGGCTGGCCGACGGATATGATATTTTGACCAATTTTTAACAACAGCAGTATTCCACTTTGTCGCTCAACTGAACGCCCGTTATGGACGCAAATCAACTGACTGCTATGGACCCAACAGAGGATTCCAAAAAACCCGTCCAATTCTCGTATACATACATAAGTTTATCCCTTTCATCATTCGTTGGATGTCTCATTCTCACACCCTTCCCCTAAGTTTCATCACCCATTAAATCGTAAAGCGGAGGTAAGACGCCCACATAATGGCCTTTATTCATTCCACAAACCTGCAAGAACCATCATGAGCTAATTAAAAACGGTTGCGGAACAAATGTCTTATGTTTTATTACACTATTATCTCCTGTTTACCTTATCACTGTTCTTCCCTATTACTTCCCATACATGCCCTACCTCTCTAACTTGGTTGACTTTTGAAATGTGGTGACAGTGACAACAACTCACTTCCTTATATATTTTTATTAGGCTACAACTTGGTTTATAATGATATATATGTAGGTAAAATGCGTATAAACACAAAATATATATGGTAAATGAAATGGGAATAAAATGGAAAAATAACGACAAGTATTTTACATGAAAACCCTTCTAAATAAGGGAAAAACCACGGGCCAAGAGGAGCAACTGGTATTTCTATAATAAGGAATTTTACAAACACTGTGTAGTTACGAATACAATACTCAAAGTGACTACTATACACTCAAAAGTAACAACACTCTTTTGGTTTCCACCTTACTAAAATATCGCTCACAAACTATTTTTCTTGTATAGTCTATAGAATACCTCACTTTGCTCTCAAAATGGTATTTTCTCTCTAAATTGGTGTGTTCTACAAATGAGAAAGAGTGCTCTATTTATAAAAGGATAAAATCATGCCTATGCCACTAATGACATAGGCAAATATAGCAAAGTCAAAAATAGGTTGGAAATCTTACCCATTTGCCAACTATCAAATCTTAATTTTCAACTCTTATCACTATACCTTTTTAACAATTACTTGTATCAATTGAATAACAAAAGTTGACCAAAAAATGGGATGGAATCAATAAATGTCCCCCTCCAGTCCCATTCACTAGAGAGAGGTATCTTCATTTTCTTTAGAGAGAGATCATGCCCACATGTTCTTTGCATAACTAGAACTTGTCTTTCGCTATCGTCTTGGTCAGTGTATCTGTTGGATGTTTACTTGTGTGGATCTTTTTATGTGAAATGATTCACTCTCCAGTTCCTCACGAATCAAATGATATCTGACGTCAATGTTTTTTGTTCTAGAATGGTACATGTAGTTCTTACTCAAGTCTATTGCACTCTGGCTGTAACAATAGATAATATACTCCATCTGATTCAAACCAAGCTCTTGAAGAAATTATTGTCTCCTTGCCGTATTCATTAGCCGCAATATACTGAGCTTCAGTTGTAGATAGTGCAACAAACTTCTGCAACTTCAACTGCCATGATATAGCTCCCCCTGAAAAAGTAAACAAATATCCAATAATGGATTTTCTATTATCAAGGTCACATGCCGTATCAGAATCTGTATATCCTTTCAAGATTGGATTTGATGCTCCAAAACACAAGCATTCATCTGAGCTTCCTCTAAAATACCTGAGTATCCACTTCACAGCTTTTCAATGCTCTTTTCCCGAATTGTCGAGAAATCTTCTGACAACGCCAACTGCATGAGCAACATCAGGTTTAGTGCACACCATTACATACATTAGACTTCCGACGATGGAGGAATATGGAACTTTGGCCATGTTCTCTTTTTCCTCCCTAGCTGTAGGACACATCTTCTTGCTCTACTTCATATGACCAGCAAGAGGTGTACTAACAAGCTTAGCATTCTTCATATTAATGTTCTCCTGTACACGTTCAATGTACTTCTTCTGGGACAAATAAATCTTCATTTCATCTCTGAGAAGAGTAATTCTCATGCTCAAAATTTTCTTGGCATGACCCAAGTCTTTCATAGAAAAAGACTTAAATAACTCTTTTTTCAGCTCCTCAATCTTGGAAATATTCTTGCCCACAACCAACATATCATCCACATACAACAAAAGGATGATAAAATCATTGTTAGAAATTTTTTGTACAAATACACAATGATGTGAAGAAGTCTTCTTATAGCCTTGCTCCCCCATAACAAATTAAAACTTCTTGTACCACTGTCTAGGAGCTTCATTTAGGCCATATAGATTCTTTCTGAGTTTGCACACAAAATTTTCTTTACCATCTACTTTGAAGCCCTCAGGTTGTTCCATATAAATCTCTTCTTCTAGTTTACCGTGAAGGAAAGTCGTCTTCACATCCATCTGCTCAATCTATAAATTAATACTAGCAACCAAACCTAAAACTGTGCGAATCGAGAACATTTTTACAAATATTTCGTCAAAGTCAGTACCTTTTCTTTGACCAAATCCATTAACAAACAATCTAGCTTTGTACCTGGGCTTCAAGTTGTGTTCTTCAACTTTAACTTTGAACACTCACTTGTTCTTCAAAGCTCTCATGCCCTTAGGCAATTTTATCAACTCATAAGTGTGGTTCTCATGCAGAGACTTCATCTCATCTTGCATGACTTCAATCCATTGATTCTTATGCTTATCTTCAATGGCCTCCTCATAAAATTCTGGTTCTCCCCCGTCAGTGAGTAACACATACTCATTGGATGAATAACGGGAGGAAGGAAACCGTTGTCTTGTGGACCTTCGAAGCGGAATGTTTGATTTGTCCACAACTTCATAAGTAACAGGACCATCAATAACAATATCATTGGTATTACCAACATCAATAGGTTGATTCCATACATGATTTTGGGCATCACGATGATTATCAAACCCAACAATATCACGCACACTTGTGTGAGGAACTTCATCATGATGAACTATACCATCAAAAGTTGAAGATTCTAGCTTCTCTGCTTTGTCGATATCTTCAATTGTTTGATTCTCCATGAAAATAATATCACGGCTTCTCACAAGTTTCTTTTCAATAGGATCATATAGCCTGTAACCGAATTCATCAAGTCCATATCCAATGAAGATGCACTGCCTTGTATTGGCATCTAACTTTGACCTCTCATCTTTTGGCACATGTCAAAAGCTTTTCAACCAATACTCTCAAATGGTCATAGAAAACATTCTTTCTGTACCAAACACTATTTGGTACATCACTTTGCAAATCAAAAACCATAAATAGATTAATAACATGTGTAGCAGTCAATAAAGCCTCACCCCAAAATGAGTTCGGCAACTTTGCTTGAGAAAGCAAACATCTAAATCTTTCCATCAAGGTCATGTTTATTCTCTCAGCCAAGGAGTCTTGGGAGGAGTCTTCTGGTGTATAATACCATGATACTTGCAGTATTCGTCAAATGGTCCACAATATTCACCATCATTATCAGTACAAATATATTTCAGTTTCTTTCCTGTTTCTCTTTCAACTGAAGCCTGAAACTGCTTGAAGACAACTAACACTTGACCTTTAGTCTTCAAGACATAGACCCAAAGTTTTCTCAAGCAATCATCAATGAAGGTGACAAAGTAGAGTGCACCACCTAATGTGTTTGTCTTCATTGGACCACATAAATCAGAATGCACCAACTCAAGAAACTCTGTCTTTCTTGAAGGAGGGTATGACTTAAAGGAAAGTCTATTTTGTTTACCAGCCAAGCACTTCTCACACTTTTCTAATTTAGCACTTTTGAAATTTGACAAAAAATTCTTCTTAGTTAGAACATTAAGTCCTTTCTCGCTGATGTGGCTAAGTCTCTTGTGTCATAACGTTGAAGAGCTATCACTCTCAAGCGCATTCACCATATCAACACAAGTAGAGGTCGTAGGCCATTATAGATCATGACGTTTGTTACCACGAGCCACAAATCTCAAATCAAGGAGAATATCAGAAATATCGAATAAAAAAAAGATCACAAAATGATCAATCTTGGATCCCCGCAAATCAAGAGAAGATTATCAATCAAAGGATCCTGATTGAGACGCAATCAATCAAGGATTCAAGTTAAGATTTTCAG